TAGATACTATCTATTTTTCAGCCGAAACGGAGCAGAAAAAATGCCATTTACCTCAGCGCCAGCAGAATAGATACTTAGATACGCCCCTGCTTTGCAAGAATAGATACGGAAAGATGCGCATAGATACGGGCAGTTGCCAAATAGATGCCAATAGATACGTGCGCAATACACTTTCATTAAAAATAGATACCTTTTTAGATAAATCAAGAACATGGATACGCTCAGCTATATTTTTAGATATTAATAGATACGGGAAATAGATTCGGCAGGCAACAAAAATTCAAAGAAAGCTCAAAAACTTCCGCACGGTCGATAGTGTCCAAGGACAAAGCTGGCAAAGGACTGGGTAACGCAAGCGGGAAAAACATGGCCTTGCGCGTAAAGTCGGCTCCTCGGAAGACGCGCAGACCTCTGCTTGACAGAAGCGGCGACGGAGCGGTCTCAGAGCAGTTTCGGCAACGGTCCAATGACACCCCGCACGCGTTGCTTTGCAACCATCAAAGGCTGAACCCTCTGCAAACTTCCGCCGACCTTCAAGCATGCTTCGACTTCTTTGGCTTGATATGCTGGAGCGCAACGTGTAAAAAATCGCCCCGGAGCTTCGTGCGAGACCGACTATTGATGGGGGCTTTGTTGGAGGGGCGTCCCTAAAGGACACTCAATGCGTTTGCAAGTTACGCTTCGGCTTCTTTGGTTAGGTGTGCTGGAGCGCTTGGGAGCTGGGGGTTCTTCTTTCTTTGCAGAAATTTTGACGCTGTAAATACACAAATAGATGTAGTTCAAAATGAGGGCGGGGATGTTGACTTGCTAGTGTGTTCGGGTCTGTCACTGCTTCTTGGGTTGAGCCAGTTCGGGAAGCCTTATCAGAATTTGTTGTGTCATCGCTGGACAGACCAACTCTGTCACAGCTGCAATGGCCACAGCTTGTCAAAGCTGACACGATATCGAATGGCGCCGACGCCGCCTGCAAATACATCCTGCCAGCAGGCGCGACTCAGTCCGAATTGTCATGGTGCAGCGATCTGCGGGCGCGAGGCTTGTGTTGCGGGCGCAGCATCAGCAACCAATTCCTGGAAGGCAAGATCAACTCCTCACATTCTGAAACAGTTTAGATACGCGGTGCTGAAAATAAATACGGTTAGATACATACGGTTAGATACAAATAGATACGCATATAGATACGATTTTTTGAATACGAGGTGCTTTTAAAGACGATGCCAAAATAGATACGGAATCTATTTTGTTTGCATGTTTGCTTGTGGGATTTTTTTAACACATATTCTGAAAATCTATCTTTTTGGGTACGCATGCGTATATGCAGGGGTTCCTGCCTGGGAATCTAAAAAATCGATGTTCGATCTTTAGGGAAATTCCATTTTTAGCGCTTCGGGGCTCGAATGCCATTTTCGGCATCAAATCAGCGATCCGGGACTCGAATCCCATGTTCGGGATCAAGTCACATTTTCGGGATTTGGGATTCGGGGCTCGAATCTTATTTTCGTCATCAAGTCACATTTTCGGGATTCGCGATCCGGGACTCGAATCCCATGCCCGGGGGGATCAAGTCACATTGTCGGGATTTGGGATTCCCACTTTCGGGATCAAGTCACAGTTTCGGCGATGCGGGGCTCGAATCCCATTTTTTGGATCAAGTCACATTTTCGGGACTCGGGACTCGAATCCATCAAGTCAGATTTTTAGGATTCGGGATTCGGGGCTCGAATCACATGTTTCCGATTTTCGGGACCAAGTCACTCGAATCCCATTGTTGGGATCAAGCCACTTTTTCGGGATTTGGGATTCGGGGCTCGAATACCATTTTCGGCATCAAGTCACATTTTTGGGATTCGGTCTTTAGGTTTTCCCAATTTCGGGATCAAGTGCCATTTTCGGAATTCGGGACTTGGGATTCGGGACTCGGATCCTATTTTCGGAATGAAGTCGCATCTTTAGCATTTGGGGTTTGGGATTTGGGGCTCTCGACTCCCATGTTCGGGATTAAATCACATTTTCGGGATTCGGGGTTCAAGACTCGAATCCCATTTTCGGGCTTATTAACGGGAGTGAGGACCCGAATCGGGATCAAATGGCATTTTCGGGATTATGCTGCAGATCACATACTGGCAACGGCACGAGCTGAAAATCATGCCCCCTGGCTTGAAGGAGTGTCTGCATGAAGCCGCGATGGATGGCGGAAAGTGCGTGGGCAGAGGTTTTGTGATCTGAGGTACGGTGTTCTCTTGAGTCCGGACTGGGTTGCATAAAGAGATAGCTTCCTTCTCAAAGGTGTAATAGTGTTTGGAATAGACAACATTTTGGCAACGTGAGTTACATTGCGCAGCCTTCGTCTCCACTTGTTCGTTTGACACATAGGCCCTGACCATTTGCAACTGTGTTTTGGCTATGCGGCTATTTCACACAGGCAATTTGACATTCAAGATGGAGTTCTCTTCGCATGCTCCTTCTGATGGGGGCGCTCGCAGGTGGAAGTGGGAAATGATTGCCGCAACTAGTGCTTTTCAACGGGCAACCTTCTTGTAAGCTTACAAAAAGAAACTTGCGAAAGGGTAACATGCGGTAGCGTTGTTTGATCCCACGCACTTCCGAGATTTGTTCACAGCGAAACCTGTGGCAATCCAGCCAATGTTGCTGGGTTTTACTCTAACTTGTTTGTCATCTTGTGTTTTCATAACTATACAGTTGTTCAAAAGGTTCTTTGTTTTTGGGCACATAGCCTTGATTGCGCCGTGGCCCTGAAATTGGCCGCTAACAACGATCGTCAACAGCGGGAACTGGGCGCCGCGAATTCCAAGTTTGTTTTACTCGTGGCAAGTTTGCTGGAAGTCTTTGCAGCTTGGAAAGTCTGCAGCCTGTTGCTACTTGTTTCGTATGACAGCCCGCGCTTGCTGACACTTGTTTACTTCCTGTAGAAAGCCAAGGGCCGCATTCCCAAGCAACCTCTCGCAATGTTGCTGGTTTGACCCCCAAAGTATTGCTGTAGTTGACAAGCGCTCCAATTTCTATTGGCGTATACAAGATCCAGTCTCTATTCATTTGGCAAATCTTCCCATTGTTGTTTGAATTTGCTCCCAGTGCTGTCTGAAGAATCTCCTTGGTGCGTGTGTTTAGCATTTTAAAACGCAGAACTAGATGCAGTGTTGCCAATATAGTTACAAGCTATGCCTGAATAAAAGGCTTGGGCAACCCTCATTTCAGGTACAACAAGCAGCAAGTTTGTTCATAGGGCAGCCTTTGGCGCAATTTGCTAGCGCCCGCTCTAAATTGTTACGAATCAACACTTATTCATGTGGCAATCCTTTCCATCTTCATTATTTGTTCTAAGAGCATCTTGGCATGTTGGCGTGGCTTACCAACATTGTAAGACTAGCTTTGCCAATACAAATGCGTGCTGCTTATGTGACGCACAGCAAGTACCAAATTTAAGAAGCGCCTTGGCGGGGGGGGCTTTCAGGACCCAGCTTCAGGGTGCATGCGGGTGAGCTTCAAGATGCAGAACAGACCTTGCAGGTCATGTTTAGGAACAGAGCGGTCACACACATCTTTGAGAAACGCTGGACAGAATGCGGCCGGCGGCAGACTTTGTTTGGAACAGGGCAAGAACATTTTGAACTACGGCGCAGAAGCATGCTTCCGCATTGCCCGCGCCATGAGTTCGCCAGATGCTGCCAGTCTTGATTCTTGTGCCAGTACTGATACTGCACAGCAGACCGAATCTTTGCGCGCAGCTTGGCAGATCCTGCCTTCCTTGCGGTGATTGTGCTGAATTGCGTCCTTCCTGACTTCATGAGCTTGCTGGTGGTAGGGTCTTTGTGCTTGCTGAACAGACCGAGGGTTCTTCTTACACGCGAATCCTGATGCCGAGGGCAGCGCGCCGGGAAGGATTCGTCATCGCTAGCATGGTTGTAACCACCAGGCGGTGCCACAACTGAGGGCAGGAATCCTGGTCAGTCAGGGAGTCCCATCCGGTGTGCAACGTGGTCACGCGGGACACCTTCCACCTTCGCTGTGTAGCTTTTGCACTGTCCGTGACATTGCAATGCCGTAGTCGTTTGTGTGCAAGGGGCTGCCACTCCACCCAGGGACGCACTTCGCAGCGCACTCTGGTCGAAGACGACGGGGTGCTACGAATATTCCGCGCCGTTGCAGTGACTTAGACAAAGACGATGGCTTTCTCCAGCTACGAAGTTTGTGGACGAGGTCATCACAGTCACGGTCAAGGAACATATCTGCCTTCTAGCTCATGCTTCCAGGCAGGATGGCAGTGTGGTGCGAAATAAGACCGGCCTTTCTTGAGGGATGCTTTGGGCCCTCAACGGGCCCGATCGTGCTCGCGAGCCTCAAGGTGCAAGCGAACCCTGACCAGGGCCCGGTGACGCAGCGAGGCGCGACGTGCGTCCGGAATTGCAAACCACAACTCCAAGCCACCATGGCTCACCGGTTTTGCTCAGGATGCCCGCTTCACTGTGGTGAGGAGGCAAACGATGGGGTGCTTGAGCGAACGGCTTGCGATGGAAGCCAGCTTCCTTAGCGATCGCACCCTCTTCAAGGCCTCCAGCTCCAACTTGCGGCGCTGATGGGTGGTCTGCAGAAAAACCAGAATAACCAGAAAACAGAAAACCCCGAAACCAAGGTCGTCATGAAGAGCCCCAAGCCAGAAAGACGCAGGTGTTTTTGTTTTCTTCCCGTTTTTTGGTTTCATGTTTCCCTTGATCTTTCAATTTTTCCACATTCTTTTGGGTATTTCTCAGTGGGGCACCATATAACTGACCTAGTATATACATATATATATATATATATGTATGAACAAACCTATGTGTGTGTGTGTAATGTGTATGCACGTGCGCACACACACACACGTACACTCCCCTCTTCCCTTCCTTCCAACATTCGATTGGTGCCACTGACAGCTTAAGCCTTGCCACTTTGTCCTCGGCTAGACGTCACCGCCTGCGGCGCAGCCTTCGCCACTGACTGCCCGGGACCCCCAACAGCGGAAATTTGTACTTCGCAACCTTTTGGGTTCCACACGGCTGTTAGCAGAAGTGCTGGACCTTTGGTGAACTATTGTGACGCAGGGCCTTCCATGTTAACAGCCACTGGCCATTAGTCGCCCCGCAACACGTAGTGCTGTTTAGCTTCAACCTGAAAGGGTAGGCGCCCCATGTCTGCTAGCAACATGGTGGTGAGGAGCAGCTTCTCTGAATGGCCACGGCCATGAAGCTCGAAGGCTTATTGTTGCGGCAGAGACAACGCAGAGGCTCAAGGCAAGGTTGTGGTTGAAGAGCCTAAGAGCAATCCCGGAGATGCCTGGCAAGATGCCGCCAAGCAGAGTTTGACAACCGAGGACCACTGTTATCCTGACTTTGCTTGACGAGCAAAGAGTGATGCAGCTTGGGCGGGGCTGGAGTGGTTCTTTGCCGGGGTTCAAGGCTCATGTGGATAGGTCATGCGCAAGGGCTTTCCTGACGAGCGCAAGCCTGTCATTCTCAAATGGCCGGCGCAAAGCCTCCTCGCCCGACCAAGAAGGCTAAGCCTTCAGCCGCTTGCAAGTGTGTTGAAGTGATGTTTGCCGGCTTTGCTTTTCTAATTCCTGTGCCAATATCTTTAGCCCCCTTGCACGCAAGCGATCCTTGAGTCGCACAGGCGCTGAGCAGTGCTGGGCTGGAACGAGTTGCTGCGCCCCATTTGCAGCCCACCGGCTTTTGACCTTGCGCGCGTTTGTTCGGCAGAGATGGCAAGCTATTTGGCAACTGAGCAGAAGTGCCACAGAGCCAGTGCTAAAAGATAGGTGCCGCAGCGTAAATCTCGAGTTGGAGGTTTGGCAAGAGGGGCTTGGGTATTCAAAGGAAGGATGGGCGCGGGCGCAGAATCAACGCCTTTGTTTTGCAGGAGTTCATATTAGAGCCATGAGTGCACTTTCGAGCGATGCTGTTGCAGCGCATAGGTAGCTATTTTAGGCTGCAGCGCGCATGCTCTTTTCGTGGGATATGTTTTAAGAAGCAACCGTTCACGAACGCTGGCTAAGATTCATGTAGGGCTTAGCTCTCGCACACCGCGCCGCAGGTTCCTTCTTCCGGTGTTCACCCGTCCGCAGCATTTACAGCCCGTCAATCAAGCCATGCCAGGCATGCTGCGCGTTCCATGTAAGCCTTGCAAGCCTTGGGCGCCTCGGACACCGCATTCAGCTCCTTTTGCTTCAACTTCTGCAGTGTTCGCAAAGGATGTGTAGCGCAATCCTTCGGCCAAAGGGTGCAGCAGTTGAACACTGGCTCCAGAATTGTTTGTGAGAAAAAATCCAGACCGTCAGATCATTTTTGGCATTGTTCCAGAAGCTTAGCCCTGTTGCCTGGTGGCCGGACTGGTCTTTTTCAGGGAGGACGCGAAGCACTCACGCAAAACCTAAGTAGTCTAAGAGCTTATGTTTGTGTTGCTTTTCTTTGCCAGAACATGGTGTAGAGCCACATGTCAAGTGGACGGAAAAGTTGTGCTTTTTTTGAGCCAGAGCTGTCAAAGTGCCCTTCAAACCAGCGTTCTTGTGTTGAAAAATTGCGACTTTTCATTTGGGGCTGCCAAAAAGTGTACTTCGCTTAATACACTTGTATTGGCTTTCTCGCTGCAGCTGGGAAAGTGAACTTCAATGCTGCGCTTGTGACGAAGTTGAGACTACCGAGCCGGAGCTGCAAAGGTGTACTTCGCTCACAGCGCTTGTGCTGAAAAGTTGCGACTTTCGAGCTTGGAACATGGCGCTGCGCTGAAAAGTTGCGACTTGCGAGCCGGAGCTGCTGAAGTGTCCTGTGCGTGCCAGACTTGTGCTGAAAAGTTGCGAGGAGCTGGGGCAAAGTGTACTTCGCGTTCTAGGCTTTGCTGAAATGTGACTTTTGCTCTCTAAGTGAGGTAACCCCTGACCACATACTGTGGATGAGTTAGATGTGCGTGGATTTGCTTGGTACAGATCTAATCTTTGAGCCGGGCGCTGGGTCAAACCGTGCACGATTGGTGGTGGTGTCTGTTTTGGTTTCAGCCCCCAGTTTTACTTGGTAGCGGAGCGCTTGTCTAAGGGCTACCAGGGCCTGAGTGTGTGGCGCGGCCATGGATGGTTTTCTGGCCTGTGCTGGCGCGCAACGCGCGGCTGAGTTTGCGGATGCATGCGTATTTGCAAGTGAGAGAACGGACTTTTGCAGAATCGTGGTTTCAATACATCCAATGTGGAGCAATGTGGTTTCGGGGGCGTGCAGAATGCCGGTTTGGTCAGTTCAAGCTACAAGTTCAGTAGCAACACATCAGGCAGTGGAGCAGCGTGACGGTACGAGTTTTGGTCGAGGCCTGGGTTTCGCAACGCTGAAACGTTTGACGGGGCAACGGGGGATTTGGAGAGACGCGTTTATGAACTGATTTCGAGGATTAACAGAGCGGGACCAGACTATGATCTTGACGAGTTATCTGAAAGGAGGCGCGCTACAGTTGAGTAGGGCACTTGCAGAGCAGCGAAACGGGCGCAAGCTGTGACAGGTTTTAGTCAACCAATATGCACCAAGCGCCCAACAAAGATCCTTAGCGATTTCGCAAGCTGTCTCTAGCTTTCCTTCCTTCAGCAGGGAAAGAAGCTTTCAGGAGAGCATCTCGGCTTTAAGCATCTCGGTTTGGACCGACGGTGCAGGAATGCAAGATGGGGCTACGGCGAGGAGGTGCTACTCGGGGTTCTGCTGAGGCGCGCGCCGCCAGCCATTAGGCAACACCTGACCCTTACCATGACAGACCGCACAGATTGCTGCAGCGCAAAAGAGATCTTGGTGGCGTACGAGCGATCCTCTAAGACTTGGGGCACTCAATCATTGATGAAGCAGGTCTCACATACCCATGGGTCAGTTGGAAAGGCCTTTCTCGAGATATGCGCAGAGTTTGTGGCGGGGGAGACGAGTGTCCTCAGAGGGTCAATGCAGCTAGCTTCAACCTCAGCTTCAACTGCAACCTCAACTTCAACAACGGTTGTTCGGCTTATGCAGTGAGCATTGGCTCCACCAATCTCAAGCGCGCGCCGGAGCGTGAGAGAAGTGAAGACAGCGCACCACCACCTCCGGAGGTGTGGATGGTGAAGCAAGTTGGACGAGGGCCTCAAGAACTTTTGGATAGGTGATGATGGTGATATGGAGGTTGACGAGGGGTATGACACTCTATCTTTGGTTGTTCAGTGAACCTGGATTGGGGCCAGTTGGGATCGGTGCCCAGCTGTAGCACCTGGAGGACGTGCAAAGGTTCTCTACGGATCGCAAGTGCGAGAAGCCTTATGCGAAGTGCTGGAGATTTTGCTCAACGCACCATTACGAAGAGGTGGACGCGCGGGAAGCTTGATTTCGCCTGACAACGACTCAGAGCTCCAGTGTATCTCAGAAGAAACAGTTTGCTTATGAATGCAAGCGTGATGAATGTTTTGCAGAAAGCCGCAGTTCAGATAGTTCGCGCGGGTCTGGGTTTTGATCATCGGCCTTATGACAAGCAAGGGGGGCAAAATGGTTTTCCTGGAGAATAGGACACCATTTCATTGTCATTTTGGAAGGCGGTTGCGGGTCCTGGTAAAGCAATAAACCTGAGTTTGCAAAAAGAATGTTGAAATCTTAACAGTGTGTTTTGGATATCGTTTTGACAAAATGATTCAGGATGAACGAGGGAGATTGAGGAGCTGACCGCAGATGCAGATATTCTCACTTCTTCACAGGAGGCCGCGGTTAGAACCCGGCATGTGAGAGGCTTTGCTGAAACGGACGGATTTGGCGCAAGGGCCTGTTCAGAGCATGCAGCGCCTCATGGGCTGGTTGGAAAAAGAGATGCCTTGGTGTGGATGCCCGGCAAGGGAAGCAGGTCAAGCGAATGGTGAGGAGCCGACAGCCGGGAGCCGCACTTGCAGTTTGAGGCGCACGTGTGTGAGTTAGTTCAGTGGCTGGTTGGGAACTTGGTTGAGTTTCTTTGCAATCAACCTAGCGGCGTGTTATGCTCACCCACTTGCCCCATCAGAAGTTGTGTGATTTCTTGCGCTCGGGCCCAGGCGCTTGAGGATTACTAAAACCGGAGTAGTGATCTGGTCTGGGAGACCGAGTATTCAGATTGAACTTATGTACATGGGTCTCGACAAAAGCATTGGCAGAAGGCCGTGCAATTTTCCTTGGACCTTTATTGCGACAGACTTTGTCCTGAGTGACAAACCAGCTACAATCAACTTGCTCGATATGGTTGTTGGTGTTAGGCGGAAGATGGGCTACTTGGCCGAACAAGGTGCTGGGCGAGCCACATCACAAAGGCAGGGCAGCTCGAGTTGAGAGATTTGCCAAGACTGTGAGGAATCAGGCGCTGACACTCGTGAATGTAGTGGAGAGAGAGCACAATTGACCATGCAATTCCAGTTGAGCATGCCTTGGCAAGTTGGGCAGTGATGCGTTCAATGCGGTTGCTGGTTACTGATTGAAAGGAGTGCAGTATCGAGGGGCGCTTGTTTTGGATAATTTGTTTTCGGCCTGAGAAAACCAAAGGATTCACAAAGCAGTTTGTGGACTGGAGGTGTGTGGCTGGGAAAGGATGAGAAAGATATGGAGAAATTGGGAAACGAGTTTGGATTTTTCTTCAGCAGTTCTGGCATTGGAGGGGTCATCGTGGAGTTCCAAGGCAGCCAAGCAGCTAAGGCCGATTCATCGATTGGGTGTACGAGAGAATTCAGAGCATCCGGAACTGATACTTTCATTGCGTCTTTTATTTGGCTGGAAAATCAAGGTGAAGCGCGTGACGCCTTCTTGATTCTTGATGGTGGGGCAGAAGGAGCTTTGCAATGTAGAGATAAGACCGTGGATGAAACAAGGCTGGGGCCTGGCAGATCACACACGCTGGGAGTTGAGAAGATGGTTGCCCAGACAACGCAACGCAACGTTTCGGTGGTATGAGTTCTTTTCGCGAATTCTGCAGAGATTGGGTTTCGTCTGAACATGTCATCACTTTTGAGGCACAAGGTCAGAAAGCTGCTGATCAACATACGTGTGGATGGTGAATTGGAAGGAGCTGGGCAAGCTTTTTGTTTCGCAGGTCGAAGGGCCAGTGACACGTGGAGATGTTGGAGACGGAGAGGAATTCAGTTGTCTGAAAAGAAGGGATGTGTTTCTTTTGGAGGGGATCTTGGCGCAGATCGATCCCAAGAATATGCGCAAAACGGTGAAGCTGGACAACCTTGAAAACCGGAAAGAGAAAGCAGTACCGGAGCACAGCCTGCTTGGGTGCAAAGACAACACAAGTCATGAAACTCCGGAGTGGTCTTGCGTCGGTGATGGGACATTCAGCGCAGCCCAATGGACCAAGCATTGACATGCCCGGCGCATTTGATATAGTTGAAAGGAACTAGGGACTATGCAACTTTGCTTGAGTACAGTTTCCTTGGAAAGACGATGGTTTCATTTCTGAATGGTCAAGTACAGGACCAAGGCGGGGGCCGTACAGTGGAAGTGTTGTGTGAGTCTGACTGGGGTGGAGACTGGATAAGTCGGAGATCAACAACCTCGACCACGGTGATTGTGAACAAGATTCCTTGTTTGAGCGACAGCCTGACACAGAAGCTCGTGGCAACTTTGTCATGTGAAGCAGAGACCTTGGTGGGGACATCGGCAGCGAGTGGGGCTATGCTTGTGAGATCCTTGTGGAGTTTTCTTGTGTATGCAGATGTTTCCTTGGTTTTGAGGTGTGGCTCATCAAGTGCGAGACAATGCAACGCACTGGAGTTGGCAGGTTGAAGCATATAGATATTCGTTTGTCCGGCGGGGACAAGGATCAGCGTTGCAAATTTGAATACGAAGAAGCTATGAAGGAAATTTCCCAGGTATTTTCTTGAACTGTGAATGCGTGTGGAAAGGGTGAGTTGCAGAAGGTTGGAAGATGATTACGTGTATGAGCAGTGCTTGAAAGACCAAGCGAACCGTGTTGGACCGGCAGTTCCAAAGGTTCACCATGAGAAGCTTTTGAAGTTACTTTTTATGGTGTAGCTGACAAGCCGCGTGAATGGGCAGCAGTGCAATGTGAGTTCTGGAAACGCAGAGCAGACATGGAGCCCGTGGTGGTGGATTTCTTGAGTGGCAAGAATGTGTTCTGCGGCAGTACCTGTGTTGTTTTCTTTGCGGAATGCTTGCGATGGTT